GTCTTTAGACCCAGCGATAGTAATGATCCCAGGATCAACAAACTACCCGCGTGTGATTATTTATCTCAGTGTGGGCCCGGCCTGCCCGGTGTAGAAGCAGAAGAGGCGCAGTCGGGCTACGCCAGCTCCATCAGCAGCCCAGAGCGTAAGCGTCACCCCGCGATCGACGCGGAGCTTCTCAACCAATCAAATCACCCCGCCGCCGACGGACTTCTACGGCTTCGTGCATCACCAGCGGTATTGGTTCTGAGCATTTGCTCTGGACTGGAGTCCGTGCTAGCAGCACCTGGTCAGGATCGTCCGACGCGGACGCTTCCAATTGCGATCCGTGAAAAGCGCAAGCTGTGGTGCTGACCAGTCCCAAATCAATGTTTTGCTTTGGAGCCCATGCTGACAGCGCAGCGCGTCTGTCCCGCGCTGGAACAGGCGGTGGCCCATCGCCGACCGCGACAACGGTTGTGCGTGCTGACGCGCTGTGTCCAACTGTGTCCAGCTGTGCCTCCGTGTCCTGTTAGGCATCCAACGGCACTCTTTGCCGGTGTCCTACGCCGACTGCCGTCGCCCGTGCGGGCTTGCGCCGGCGTCTGTCTCCCTCCCTCGCTGTGGTTGTGCTGAGATGTCCCAATGTCTGCGCCTGTGTCTGTGCCTGTGTCTGTGCCTGTGTCTGTGCCTGTGCCTGTGTCTGTCTGTGTCCGTGTCTATGTCTGTGTCTGTCTCGAGTTGCGTTCTGTTCTGTCGGCTGTTGCGACCGTAACCTGCGTGACTCGCAGTGGCGGCGCTGACGCCCCGTCCGCCGCCGGCAGGTGCGATCGAGGAGAGCGACACCGACGGCCGGCGACGCCTCCTCTCGCTCGAGCCGGCCGACGTGCTCGAGGCGTTCGACGGCCGTCGCTCCGGGCTGCTGAAGCCGAGCCAGCTGGCGAAGCTGAGCATGGCGGCCGAGCGGGCCGCGCCGCCAGTCGAATACCGGCCCACCGACTGGAACGGCCTCACGCGCAAGCAGTTCCTCTGGTCGCGCTTCAGCGACGAGGACCGTCGTCTGGTGATGCAGACGGGTCGCGGCCGACGGCGCAGCGTGCCGGCCGCCGAGCCGCGCCGGCGCGCCGACGCCTTTGAGGCCGCGCTGCGCACCTTCCAGGAGATGGGCCGGGGGCGAGGCCGCGGCTGCGGCGCCGGCCGCGTCGCTGGCTGCCGG